AAGAAGAAGAAGAAGAAGAAGAAGAAGAAGAAGAAGAAGAAGAAGAAGAAGAAGAAGACGAAGAAGAAGAAGAAGAAGAAGAAGAAGAAGAAGAAGAAGAAGAAGAAGAAGAAGAAACATAAGAAAGCACCCATTTATAATCCTTCATTCTGAACTACTTGTCTTTTTTTGTGAAGCTGCTTAACTCTAGCCATAAATCATATCAATAGGAGTGCCGTCCTGAAAAAAGAAAAATATTACGTTTACCATGAAGTAAATGCTTGGCAAGTCTGCATTTGTGCCAGCCTTCATTCCCATCTCCCAGACTCTACTCATTATGTTTCTAAGACATTTATGGCCCAGCTGGAGAAAGTAGGGACAAAGACTGAAGAAAAAGAGAGTATGAGCAGAAAGCATTAATTTTACTACCTTCTGAAGCTAGATCAAAACACAGGGTACAAGTCAGAGCGGAGGGCTCAGCTTCCTCTAATGTCTCCCCCTCTCCCCCACCCCACAGATCTCCAGAGGAGACATTCCCCCAGCTGGGTCTGGCGGAAGCCAGACCTACAACCTTCCATGGTTTGGCTGAGGATCATTGCCAATGGACAGGGGCTACACTGTGGGGCTCAGTTTGAGTTCCATGTCCAAACTTAGAAGAATCATCAGTATTCTGCAGTTGTATTCCCCAAGGCCTCAACAGGGGCACCTCGCCAAAAAGCTTCACTTCGTCTGAATAAATTAACAGTTATAGGGTCCAGCTGTATCTTCAGGCTGACTTGTTAAATATTGGCTGTAAGAATTCTTCAAGGCATTGATATTAGACTACAGAGCTCTGGGATGGGATCTAGTCGCAGGCCCTGAATGCAAGTTCTCTGCCTTTCTATGAAGGGAAGACACCAGCTGCTTCACTGTGGATACAGGCGGAAAAAAAGGAATGCCAGAGAGGAGGCTCCCAAAGGGCACAAAGTATTTAAAGAGAGCTTTTTGGTGTTATAGCATCCAAAAGAAGTCTGTAATCTACTTCTCACACTCACCTGGATTGCAGTCACTCAGTAGCAGTAACCTCTTTCTTATCCCTACTCCAGATGTGTTTAGACAGACTTATGGTGGCAGAAACAAACTGCTTTGTTTCTGCAGGATAACAGCAAAGGAGAGATCAAAGGAAATAAAGGAAGAAAAAGATATTGATGACGAATTCTGTAGAGAGTCTTTCTTGATCCATGGTCCCACACCTCCCAAGCCAGATTCTATTTCAGTTTGCACAGGTGCCAAGAAGCAAGCAAGCAAAGGGAATCCTCAGCAGGACAGCAAAGACTATTGTTGGGGTTTCTGAAAACTTAACTGTGGAGCCTGAAAAGAGGCTGTGGAGAAAGAGTGACAGGACCAGCCCTCAATCAGTGTCCCTTCACTGTCATCTGGTGGCAGAGGCTCAGTGGACCCATCAAACCAGAAATACATTTTAACACAGCCCATTGTCTGTAAAACTTCATCTATGCTCCTTCTAGCTTTTATTTTTTTCTAGTATGTACCTTTTAGCTCTATTCAGATGCTCTTCTAGAAAAATTAGTGATTATGAATTACTAAGGTGAAAGAATCCAAAACCAGATCAGGATGTGTGCCCATTCCCCACCTACTCAGACCTATGGGCAGAGCCAAATCCAGAAGTCTATGACCTAGCCTTGCTTCAGGCCTAACCTACACCTCCCCTGAGATTCATGAGAGAGAGACTTCTCTCTCATGAGAGAGCCTGAGAGAAGCTAGAGCTCTATCTATCACAACAGGCGGCATGCAAAGCATAAACACTCCTGCTTTTACTCTGCAGACAGCACACAAGGCTCTCTCAATTCATCTCCTTTTCACCATTCTGTACAACTGTCTTCTGAAAGCCACTGCCAGCTGTTCAGCGACACACAATACTCAAAGTGGACTTCACGTCACGTGGCAGCCCAGAGAACTGGAAGGGGTAGCGTCTGTGCAGGAGTAAACGTGAGAACAGCGCTGAGATCTTACGCCCAGCAGCGTGGAGAGTACCTTCCTCCTGTGTACCGTCACTCTAAGTGGCTGCAGCAGAGAAACATCTAATCTCACTCCAGGAACTTACCTAGACCTGCAAGGGTCCCCATTGGGGCAGGGGCACTTGTTTTGAAGAGATCCAGAGGGTTGGTCTGTGGGGCTGCAGGCTGTCCTGTCGGAGATGTCTGACCTGGAGGTTCTGAGGCAAAGATGTCTGATGCAAGCAAGTCATTTGCTGAAGACTGACAAAATGGGGAAGGACGGGGAAGAGTTACTCAGCAATGAGGCAAACACAGCTTCCATCTATCTCTTACTCTTTACCCCAAAGCTGATGTCCACGTAAAGGAAAACCTTCCATTATTACTGGCGAATGATTACTTACACTAAAGTAAATAAAAGACTGAGGGCAGGGTGTGAGGTGGGGTTGAGGAGGGGCAGGGTGTAGGGTAGGGTTGGGGAGGGAGACAAAGGCACAGATGGCTGCATTGGGCAGACTAATGAATGCCACCTTGGACTTGCAAAATAAAATCTATTTTTCTTGTTTTATCCTTTTGTTTAAGTCTGGTCTCCTTATTGGCCACAGCTTGAGGGCAGGAAAGAAAGGGCACCATAAACATCCTAAATCATTTCAGTTGTTCCATTAGCTTTAAATCAGTTTCAATGGAAATGATAGCACTTTCGCTGTTAGGTAAATTTGCACATTTCTATGAGAGCTTTAAAAAAAAAGTCTCCTACAGGTACTGCGCTTGGAGTCACGTTTGAATTTGAAGTTGGTAATAGTGGTTGTGTAAGTTTCTAAGTCAATGGGTTATTAAATCAACGTTTACATTTAAAAGAGGAGACAGACTTGAGAAGTTTATACCACCACCATGGACATCAGTGATAATGGGTGTGCAGGACATGGGTTAGTGTTGGGACAGGACCAAGGGAATCACAAGAACTCTTCACCCTCCCATCCCGAAACATGACAATCAGACTTACCAGAGGTACAGAAGCATAGCAGCATTAACAATGGAAAAAAAAACAAAAAAAACAAAACAACAACTTGTGTTTAGTTTAGTATTAAGTGACAAGACATGCAAACGGAAAGCAGAGGTGACGAACAACTGCTGGGAAGCTTGGGAAGAATGCTGGCTAGAGGGGCATATTCCTGGAGGACGGATGAGCCTCATCCCACCTTCTACTTCACAGCCACACAGGAAACTCAAAAAGCAGCAGGGAAGAGAGCTTGCGTCAACCACCCTCTGGTACCACGCATGCACTCTGCTAATGGATATGTGGAAAAGACAATTCACCTTAGCAGTCCTTCTGCCTCTTCCTTGTTTGGTACTTTGTGGAGGTGGGATAATAGCTATGGAGTCACGCGTGGAGGACTGGACAGAGCTTTCCAAGTCCTGCTTTACGCCATTCGGTACCGAGAGTCCTTTGGGAGGGCCTCCCACAAAAGGGTTCGGGGAAGATTTGATATGGAAGCCGTTCTGTTCTCTTTCAGATACCCCATTTTGAGTTCTCACTGCTTGCTGGGTTTGCGAACTTGGATAGGGCCATGGGCCTGCCTGAGCTTCCTGTTTGCCAGTCCGGTTAGAGATCTGGTCAAATTGTTGCCCAAAGTAATCAGTACCACCGTTCAGGGGCCCTTTACTCAGCGGAGTAGACATGCTACTCAGATTTGCTTTCTTCTGATCTGGAGATGTGAGAGAATCAAACGAAGAGGGTGCCGATTGGTCTGGCTGTGCAAAAGGATCATCACGGAAGGGATCAGGATTAGGGGTGGGAAAGAAGTTGAGATTGGCAGAAAAGGCATTTTCAGGCAAGAAGGATGCCTGAGGCTTTGGTCGAGGGAGAGAGCAGGAGGTGACGCCATTTGTTAAGAATGGATTTTCTCTTAAAGAGTTCTGATTGGTGTCGATTTCAGAGTTTAGATCCACTAACAGGATATCTTTGCTTTCCTAGCACATTTGGGGGAAAAAGAGAGAGAGAGAGAAAGTGTTAGTCCATGTTATAACTTCAAATGAGAAAACTACATCAAAATGACAAGGATTACCAGGATTCCTATTAGAATTTGGGACTATTACCATCTCCCATGAACTCCCTCAGTGTTTACTAGCTGTGAACTAGTTCCTCACTCAGCTAGTGGGGTCTGCCCTTCCTTCTGTGAAATCTTGTTCAATTCATGTTCCCCTTAGTTCAAACATTCAAAGGCCTAGGTTCATTATATGCACTGGTTCAACTGATATCTTTGACTTTTAAGTCTCACACTAAGTAATCTGAATACACTGTTTGGACATATGAGCTGACTTCAGAAACCTGGGCCAGCTTCCTACCTGAGAAACACAGAGTCCACGGTCGTTTTGGTTGTAATCCAGAAATCTCAAACATTACCTCTCTAAATGAGCAAATTCATTGGTTCATATTCATAAGCACACCATATGTGTATACATATGGTGCTGGGAATTAAACTCAGGGCTTCGGATATGCTAGGGAAGCATTTGACCACTGAGTCACATTTCAGAGCTCCAGATTTCATAGTTGTGATGAAACTTAAAGTCAAGTGTATTTCCTTCCTCTGGGGGAAAACAAGAGTCTCCCTTTTTATCTTGGTCTGCAGGTCTGGCTCTTTTAATAGACAAAGATTTCACTGAAGGTACTAGCCAAGGTGGACCTCTTCTCTTCTATAGCATCCTCATCCCTTCTTAGATACAACTTCTGTGTGTGTCCTTTTGAACACGACACTCAAAGTAGGGATCACAACTAACAAATCACGTACTAACCTCATGTTGTTGTACATATTTTCAACACATAGCTCCTATTTCCTGTTATGTTAGCTGACTTTAAAGTCAGCTAAGAACTAAGAAAAAATGTGCGGGTTCAGGGTGTAACCTGCAAAATGCCTAACTGTACTAATTCTATTTCTTCTCTATTATATGAGAAAAAATAGTTGTTGTCTGGTTTCTCCATTTGTCTTACGAAAATTGTCAGCATCAAAGCTACCAATTTAATCAGCTTGACATGTTTTTTTATTCCAATTCATAAGTAATTATGACTTACCCTGGGAAAGACCTTTTTGACTGACTTTGATCCATTAAATACTTAACTGTGTCAGCCATAGATTATAAACAATAAACACTGTCCAGCTGGAAAGGAAGCCAAAGCAGACACCTAGCATTAACCGGGTGGAGTATTATTTTGATCACAGGGACAAGAACAACTTAAAAGAAATCTAAACGTTCTGAACTAATGAGGACAAAAACAGTTCAAAACTCTTTGGTTTTTTTAAATAAAGGAAAAAGTTCTATTTCTCTCTTGTGACCATAGAAGAGGCAACAAAATCATGTCCAAGCCATATTCATATTCTCTCTTTTTACTTTGTTTACTGGAAAATATAAAATCAGTTTTTTTTTTCCTTAAAAGCCTGGTTTTCTTTTTATAACTAGAAGAACTCATCACAAGAAAGAACTTAAATTTAAAAGCTTTTAATCAAACAAATGAATTGGGAGACTACTTAATGAGGGGATCTTTAAGCAATCAAAAGGCAGGAATAAGATGCATTCCAGAAGCTTGATTTCAGTATTATTTGTTTTTTTATGAGCCACCTCTAGGTTAGCACAGTTGGGTGTTCACAGCTGGCAGAGTTCTCCTTTCCAGACACTTCAGAACAAGTTCTTTGAACACCAAACAGGAGCCACAATGTTAGACTTCTGAATAGTCAGCCTACGAGCAAAATGTATAAGGCTGTCAATCCAAACTTAAGAGTCTAAAAGGCCACAGTGGGTGGACAGAAGACCCTTCATCTACTCCTGTGGTCAGAGCTTCATCTGGGCTTTGTTGGGCTGTTTGGAGTGCAGGTACTTCATTTGGCTACCATTTGAGCACCTTCAGACAGTAATGAAAGTGTATCAAGTCGCTTTAGCAAGGAGGTGTATAAGTAATGGGATATGACTGCTCAAAGGCAAGATTTTAAAACTGAGGTCTCCAGCTCTTCTCTGGGTAGCTAGCCCTACCCTCCATCCCAGGAATGGTTACTAACCAGTCAGAGGAACATCTATTTTGTGTCCTCTGCATTTGGAGTCAATGTGAAAGAGTATGTTGCCAAAATCCAACCAGCACATAATTAGTCCTTTTAGCTTAATTTTTTTAAAAAAATACTTGCCAGATAGTATTTATTTTGATTAAATTTATTGTTTTAACTTGTTTTTTAAACTAAGACTCAAATTTCTACAAAGAAAACATTTTAGTTTGCATGAAATTGAATATAAAAATAAAGATTATCCCTGCTGTTTTTTCACTTTGTATGGTAGAATGCTTCAGAAGTCCACAAAGGCCAATGAATGAAACAGTAAGTGCCTTCTTGCTTCTTCCTCTGCAGTTCCACCTGTGTCTTGAGAACTGTTCTCTCTCTTGAAGTGCCCATTTCAGGTGACACTTGGGAAGAAGACTACACAGATATCAATTTCCTTCAAGGAAGGAACTAGTAATAAAGAACTGCCGAGACTGCTGAGGAATCCAAGGAGCGGAGACCTAGGATGGTCCTTCTAGCATCAGCTAACCTAATATGTCAAAAATCTTATCCTGAAAACAGCAAGAAGCATTACACAGAACGAAAACTTTCACAGACAAGTAGAGAAGGACTCACTATTTGAAAGACTATCCAGTAGCTCTAACTCCTCAATGGTAGGCTCTGTAAGGACTTTAAGATTCTACCACACAGTGTGAATCCTATACAGGTGTATACAGAGAAGAATGTACAAAGTCCATGCTTCAGTTGACTTGTGGGTTTATGCCGTGAGGTTCTGCCTGCCAGACTTCTCTGCAGTACTCTGGGAATTGAGAATCTTTCCCAAACTCTCTCTGACTCACTTCAGTTCCTGAGATATTTTGCACACTGCAAAGGCTTTCTTGATACATTTCCTGATTGAAAAGTCTCAGGCAGACATATCCCCCATTATTGTGTATTAAGTAGTTCTCTGCTTGTCTAGTTGTTGCCTTCTTATCCTTAATGTTCAAGTCTAGAAAATTCCTTCCTTAGTAGCATTATCTGAGTCTGCATACTATGTGAACATATTGTAGTTAGCATTATCTAATTGGCTTTGTCAGTAGTCTTAGCCCACTCCCTGATAGACAGAGCGGTTGACAGTAGCACTAACATGTATCGTGCTTGCTGCTCTGCCTGCCAATAACAGGTGATCAGGAAACTAGGAGAAAAGTAATAGAAGCTGAGGGAAATCATTCACAGTGACATGACTGTTTCTGTTGGAGGCCTGTTTTATAGAGGATCTGAAGAAGAAGTCACTGATTAACTGATATGGAGAAGGCTTGCTCTATATAGTAATGCTTTAGAACGAGAAAGTTTCTAAAAAGAAGAGACTATTGCTAATCATGAAATGAACCTTGATTAACTCTTATTTAATGTCAAACTCATGCTGCTAAACTGGAGAAAAAAATGAAGAAGCTAAGGCAATTTAAGATTTATCATTTAAGAAGCATACTTCTTTCAAGTAGACTCATGCCGAGAATTATAATTCAGCCCCTCCTTCTGATCCCAAGTTATTACCAAGAAGGATTACTTTGACTGGCTAGCAGCACAGGTTTAACCTCTATGCTATACTAATATGTCTTAATTAGTAATGGTAGGTTGCTATGGTTACTTAAGATTAGAATTATTTTTCTAATTGCCACTGCTATTTCATAAGGAAAAATCAAGACATTCCAAGTTTCCGTGAAATGCTCACACTTTCTGGTTAATTGTAAATTTGGATTATGGTTATTATTTCAATCATATTGCAAATTTAAAAACGAAACACTTACTGTTGGACTATTTAGGTCAGGAGGTGTAGACATGTCCCCAAACAAATCCATCTGGTCAACACCCTTGAAAAAGTATTTGGATTAGATTCAGATGTGTCTACTAAAAACAATTACTTTTTCTATCATTGTAATTGTTTATGTCCTAAACTACAGAAAACTGATGTGACGATTGGATTGTAGTTGATTTCATATAGATTTGATATTAAGCTACTTATATCAGGGAGTATAGGCTTTTCCCCAAGCACATCACTCTGGCCAATACCTTAAAGAAATACTATATTAGATACCAGTGACTTACTCAAATAGTCATTTTAGTAGACTAACATAAAATTATAGGATTGTATAGAAAAATATTATCCCAACTGAATTTTCCTATGGATTCAATATAGGTTCAGTATTAGCAACATTTATAGGAGGTAGAAACCCATGTTCAAATGAACAAGAATCACAAAACATCACAAACATACCAGCTTCAGCTTGTTGGCTTGATCGTCAAGGGTCATTAGAGCCTCCCTCCCATTCTGAAAACAAAAGGCAAATGTTAAAAGGTTTAGTTGATTAAGTATTCCTATAACACTTATTTTTTTTTTCTGCCTGATTACTCCCATTAAGCTGTTACAGCCTGGTGTCTAATAATTTAACTATTTATCTTCCATGGAAAGATTGGTCCCTAGCCCAGAGAATCTAGTCAGGAGAGAAGAGTACATTTGAAGATAGCAAACATGGCTTCTATGCATCCCACTCATCACAGGAAATAAAGAGGCAGTGTTACCTCTTCTGCTTTGTTGGATTCTTCAACCTAAAAAGAAAGATGCAGAGTCAGTGAGCTTGGTACAAGAGTTGATAAGGGAACAAACACAGCCACATTCATAGGCAAAAGGGACAAAGGCTTGTATATTTTGCTATATCTCCCCTCTCCCCCCATCACATAGATACTGGTTTTGAACACTTTGCAGATTTAAGCTATATTGCTGTGATGTTTTAACTAGGAACGGCCCCCATAGACTTGTGTGTGAATGCTTGGTCCATAGGGGAGTGGTACTATTAGGAGGTGTGGTTTGTTAGAGCAGGTTTGGCCTTCTTAGAGGAAGTGTGTCACTGGGAGTTGGCTTTGAGGTCTCATACGCTCAAGTCTGGCCAGTGTGGCATAGTCTCCTTCTGCGGCCTGCGGCTCAAGATGTAGATTTCTCAGCTCCTTCTTCAGCACCATATTTGCCTGCATACCACTATGCTTCCTGTCATGATGATAATGGACCTAACTTCTAAAACTTTAAGCCAGCTCCACTTAAATGTTTTCCTTTATAAGAGTCACTGTCGTCATGATGTCTCTTCACTGCAATAGAAACCCTAACTAAGATAGTTGCTCTGTTAAGTCATGTAATTACTATGAATGTTATAAGGAGTCAGAGACTGCAAATCAGATGTTCTTAACACAAAATCCTACCACTGTCCTACTAAGAACAATAGACAATTCTATACTTGGATGGAGAGAAGCCCAGCTCTTCAGACATGGCATACAACACTAAACATGGCGCTAGGTATAGTTTTAAATACAGAAGAACTTCTATCAAACAGCACTTGCCTTTTTCTTTTCTTCTTCCTTTTTCTTTACATTATAGATAACCTGAAAAAGGTCTTTAAGATCGACGACTAATGGTTCAGCCTGAAACAACAGAAAGCATTTTGTTCTCATCTTCTTTCCATGCCCATAATCAGTTCTCATTAATATTTTTATTTACATTTGAGATTGGTCACAATCCTTCTCTTATTTATAGAGAATGACCACTTTCAGATAAATAAAATACATAGGGTTAATGAATGTTTCATTAATGTTAAAAACATAGTTTTCACAATAGTGTTTTTTTTTTTTTTTCAAGTATCCAGATAAAACTGCTTTTGGAATTTCTTCAAGGTTTCTGGGAATACTATTCTAAATTTGTTAGTAGCTTTATTAGAAAATCTATTCTTATAATTCTTTTGCTGCACACATGAGTATCACTGACATTTTAAATAGATTCTTAGGCTAAAGTTATTCTTTGAATGATTATTGGCCCAAAGAACCAGTGTGGGCCCGACATACTGTTTTCAGTAAATTCTGTCAAATAACAAACACTTCTATTCTCAACAGAGGACCAGTACTCAGGTGTACTGTGTCTTAGAGCTTACCTGTTGCCCTGTTTTAATGGCAAAAAATTGATGCTGGCCTTCTCCTCCACACACATAACCAAATGCTCTATTGTCGGTCACATCACGAGCAATGAAGGAAATCTTATTTACTGGATGTTCATGCTCTATTACCTTAAAAAGGGACATAAAAGAACAACACTGAGTAATATGGAATGTACTTGCTGGCTATCACAGGTAGGTATCAGAAACATGTAAGACATACACAAAAGGTTTAAAGCCCTTGAAGAAAGACATTTTCATCTTTGGTTCAAGGCAAGATCTAGATTTAATTTTGCTAGAAATGGCTCCAAAAGGAAGGACAACAGGAAAACAAAAGTAGAAAAACATACTTTCTAAAAATACAAGTACTTGACTTTCTTTCTATCCAAAAGATATAATGCCACATACAAGAAAGAACTGAGATAAGTTCAACCCAAATCAAGCTGCATGTGTTGTGGCCTTTATAGGCTCTGGGAGTTTGGGGAAGATCATTAGTTTATTTCAAGACCAGCTCAGGCAACACAACAAGACAGTATCTCAAAACCAGCTGACCAAATGAACAACCTACAGAGCAAATACCCTGATCAGAGCCATTCTGTGCAATAAAAGAACAAGAAAAACCAAAATAAAACAAAACTTAAGGCTTATCTTCCTAAATAAATGACAAACTTAAATGAGCAGCCTAACCACACTATACAGTAGAGTTTGATTTGACAGCTAAGTTTTAGTCTACAAGACACTAGAATTTGTCAAATGAAGATTTTTATAAAATAAAATTATAGTGTTATATGGTTTCTTATGAATGTTATAAATCTATATCCATTATTTATGTGAATATTAAAATTAACTTGACAAAGGAATTATATTTGGAAGAGAAAGAAGTGATGCTTATGAAAGAAACCTGCTACCATTCTTTGTAGGACTTGAGATTATAAGTTGTCAAGAGCTGAAGGGTAATGATAAAGTCAATGCTGCCTGAGGACCAGCAAGCTGAGTGGGCATTTACCATGGTGCCCTGACTCTTAGTCTTGCAAACAGATTTTCCATATTAGATAACAGGTACCTCTTGGAAGGGATGAATAGACATCTTATAACATCTTGCTATGAATAGTGTTTTATAGCAGATTTACTAATGAGACTTTAAGTGACTGAATCCTACAATGTTTTATAGAATGAAGGAAAAAGTGCCACAGAAGACTTGGAATACTTTTGTGTACTGATCAGAATAAAGTAAACAAATAATAAAGAAGCAAGAGAGATTTCATGTGATAGAACAATAGCTACCACAAAGAAAAAGAAAGGAAAGGAAAACTAAAAGTGCAGTCAAGAAAGTTACATCTGCAGGTTGGGAAGGACAGGAGAAAGACAGAGGGAAAACATTCCAGAGGTTTTGAACTAGCCATCAAATTCACACATGATCAGTCCACTAAACCAAGTTAAGTATTCAGATTAACCTAGTTCAGTCTGAAGTTCGAAACAAATTCCATGCAACAGGGTAGCATGCTTGTGTTTAGGGGTTTATTCATATCTTTTATAGGAAACGAGTTCAAAATAGGATTCCTTGACGCCTCTCTTTCTATTGTCTATTTTGGAGACATAGTGCATGATTTTATTCTTTTCCCTACTTTGAGAAAGAAAAGGAAATTGCCCACCGAAAATCAACTATGGTCAGACTCAGGTGGTCCACCACTGCTAACAAGCACAAATCCTTACCCCAGTTTTCTCATCAATAATTTTTATTCCAGACAGGGAAATGTTGACCCAGATCCTTTGCTTGTGCTGTCCCTGAGACCGACCAGCTGCTGCCATTCCCTGGTGAGATTGGGGAAATAAGAGAAATGTATTTTAAAGTATGATGAAACTTTGAAAGACAAACTGCTTTGTTTTCAACTTGGATGGCATCTAAAAAAGGATCAAGCACTTTTCATCAAAGGTAATAGAATGGAGTAGAAGATATGTATGTATGTATGTATATATGTATGTATGTATGTATCTATCTATCTATCTATCTATCTATCTATCTATCTATCTATCTATCTTGTAGGAATAGGGATTTAGTTCAGTGAAAGTATGCTTGCTAATATGTGCAAGCTAACAAATTTAATGTCTCTAAAACACACACACACACACACACACACACACACACACAATGACCCTCCTAAACCTTGTGCTGTTTAATTAGGTCCACTTAGTAGCATCGTACAGAAATTTAAAATTCTGAAACACTGGGCCTGGGGAGATGGCTCAGTTAGTAAAGTGTTTGTCACAAAAGCAATAAGACTCAAGTTTGATTCCCAAGAACCCACATAAAAAGTCAGATGCTGTGGCATACACCAGTAATCTCAGTGCTGTGTGTGCAGATACTGTAGTATCCTGTGCCTTGATGGCCAGCCTCTTTATCTAAATTGATAAGCTCCAGGTTGGTTGAGATACTCTGTCAAAGAATTAGGCAGGGGACAATAAAGGACGGCACTCATTGTCAGCCTCTGGCCACATGTGTGTGCACGTATGCACAGTAAAAATCTCAACACACTAAATGGCCATAGCTAAGGACCATCAGTTTTCTACTAGAGTCCTGTACTTTACCTGAACACTTTCTTTGTCAGCAAGCATTCTTTGACCTCTTTTACGGTTTCCATTACTCTGGAATATGTGTATGTGTGTGGTCTACATGCATGTGGAGTGCAGAGGATGATGCTGAATGTATTTCTTGGTTGCTCTCTACTTTGTATACCAAGGCAGGGTCTTCTCATTTGAGCACAAGCTCACTGATTCTCTAGTCCAGTCCATCTTGCCATGGGAGTAGTGTCTCTGCCTCTGAAGTACTGGGATTTCAGATGGGCTGTGACACTTGCCCAGCATTTTCATGGGTGATGGAGATTCTAAATTCTGGTCTTTTCACTTGCAAGACAAGAATCTTACCCACTGAGCCATCTTCCTAGTCCTTATTCTGTGTCTTTCATGCAGAAGGAGATATATTCACACACAATTGTCCACAGCTTTTAAAATCATTTAATGAGAGAATCTAGGGATGGGCTTTGCTCATCCAAGTGCTGGGCTTACTCACATGAAAGGGCACCCAGAATCTTGCTAGCCTTCATTAAAGAGGAATTCTAGAACAAGACTCAAAAGATGCAGAATTAACAATGGCTTCTCTGAAAAGAAAACACTGGCAGATCACTATGTGAATACAAAAACTTTTTCAATAACAGAGATGTGGGTTGATAGGAGCTAATAGAATTCCCTCTTTTAGATTCTGATTGGAACAGACAATGGCTTCTTTCCCTCTTTACCTTGAGTTTCATCATAGAGTCTTGGCTCATTTTGTCTCCTCTTGCATCAGGCACATCATCAATACCAATTAGCTTGGCCTTGTATTTCACACCATCACCTTTGAACCTGGCCAGCAGATACTCATCTGTCTTTTCAGAACCTACAAAATAAAAAGAAATGCAGGATAAAGCTTATAGCTTATATTTAAGCGTCACCCTTAGGCATGATCACATGTGCTAGGTATCTCCCCAAAACGAATACCATAAATCTTGATTACATTGTAATTGATCATACACTGGATTTCCACTTTCTTATTCTTTCAAGCAAAATCATGTTCCATAATGTTGGGTATAGAATTGAAATTAAAAGGAAAATAATTAAAACACACACACACAAAAATTTCTTCAAGACACAAAATGTCGACAAGACATTTCATAAGAACACATGAATTTTAGAGCTGGAAATATCCAAACTTTTTAAAGTTTTCAAAAAACTTTATCAAAAGTTATCAAAAAAGTTATCAAAGTTTTAAAAAATGTTTTGAATAAATTTTAGAAATTTTAGCATAATCTGTTTAACAAAAAACATAGCCCAAACACTTCTCCAATATTTTGTATCATAAATAAAACTAAAGTGAGTTGAGGGTAAATCTCTATGACTATAATTGGATAATTAGTCCTTTTTAGTATTTTCTTTCTCCTCTCAAAAGGCCTCTGCTGTCTCATTCCTAGAGCTGAAGGGACAGCCAAAGCGAAGAGGAAGGACACAGCACCTTCTCCATCTCTGGCAGAGTAAGGAAATGGACACTATCTAGCAGTGCTTAAAGCCAAAAGAAAAGTATGTAATAAAATTAAATTTTGATTTTTCAAAAACTGATGTTAGCAAAAATAACAGTGATAAATAAATTACTGAAAGATAACTGCACAATAGCTATGGCTAAATAATTAATCATACATTTAAACGAATAACTATTAAGAAACATATAATCAAACAAAAGGCTATGAAAATTTCCAACTGGAACTGTCGGTACAACCAGCTGTGCAGAAGTAAGTGTATGTGAGGCAAACCATTTACTTCTGCCAAAAAGATTCCTTCTTAGGACTTGAGACTAAGCTCATGAGGTAACCAAATAGGATCCATTTGCCCATACCTTTCTTCTTTTCCTTCTTTGATGGCACTTTTGGTGCAGGCTGTTGGTCAGGCTGACCGTTGGTTGTGTTTGTCTCTACTTCGTTAGACATGACAGGAAGACAGGCTGAAAACCCAGCAGCAGACACTCACTGGCAACAGACAATCCCCAATCGGCAAGTCTCAAATGAACATAACCCACGACGCACACCTGTGGGTAGAGAGAAGGTAGAGTGATGCAAAAAATACAACAAACCTAAACTCCACACCATCATCGTCCACAGGGGCCAGTCTGTTGCCCGTATACACTTATTAACTGCACACGCTTGCCAATCCTTCTCTGTTAGAGTGACCTCTGAAAGCAGGGCTGTTCTCTTTGAAGCTCCCAGAATGGGAAAAGATTGTTTGGTAAATTTTTCTTCAAGCGCTTGATTTCTGGTAGCATTTAATGATTGCCTAGCTCAGAAACTTGTGTTAGAACTTTGGCATACGAATCTATAATCAAAGATAGGGATCACAAACTGGTTAGGTTTCATAGCAAAATAGAAACATACCTGCTGAGCTGGATAAGACTGTAACTGATGTCAGAAGGTGAATGCTAAGAGTTTCACTTATCCACAGAACTGCTTAGACAGGCAGTTGTGCTCTAGGGGTATAGAAGACTTGCTACACCTGGCTTCTGTCCCCAGTGCTCCCCCGATGTAAAAAGAGTAGAGTCTAACATTTAACTGATAGACTTAAACATCTATTATTATTATTTGACATATGAGCTCCAGTGCTGTATCGCATACTTTAAATACCTCCATAGGTGTGTGGGGTAGCAGGAGTGCTGGGAATCAGCCTGATAAGCAACATAAGTCAGACTCAGAAAGGTAATCATTGTTTGTTCTCTCTCATATGTGGATATGACAGATTAGCAGAATGAGGACTTGTGGGGGAAGGAAGAGAGTGGGAAACAACAGAAGAAAATGTGAGGGGAGAAAAAGAAACTATTATATACTTGTTTCATTTGTGGAGTCTAGATTTAAAGATGGTGAGTCTAGACTATACATATGTGACATATAGCATGCTTATATGGCACGAAAGCATGAGGAGGAAGAGCTAGAAGGGCAGAAGCGGGCAGGAGAAGTTTGGATGGGGGAAGATAGTGGGAGTAAATACGAACAAAGCACAATGATCTATACATATGAGACTGTCATAATAAAACACACTATTTCATATGCTATTTGAAAATTAGTAATATAAATAAATGAATTCCATTCTTTCCGTTGACATGCTAGTTAATCAGAGAATTTACTGGTGTCTTTTGTACAGTTCATTTAGTGTATTAATAAATGTCTTTATGCTATTATTCAGCACTAGCATCTTCAAAACAGTTGTTCCAAGACTCTTGTGACGCCTCCCTGTTAATTACATTAAAGAAAAAAACAGCCATTGCAAGCACACAGTGTTTCGAGTACACTGGTGTTTCTACAGAATGCCCAGAGGAGCTTAGAGGGCGCACATTCTAAAACTACAGACCAAAGGCAGCAAAGAGACACTGCTTGCTCTAGAATTTTACTTGAAAACCATCTCTAGGCTGGGACACTCCTTTACCACAGAAGCCTTCTTCATTCTGTACTGTGTGCCCCGTGTGTGGCAACACTGGGGACCAAACCTACCACATGGGAATGCATGCTGTTTTGTAGACATGAGAGATAAAAAATAAGCCTTGATTTTCTTTCTTGTTTAACTCTTAAAAATCCTCAAGAGCCCTGTATGATAGCACTAATTCATCTTCCCAAGGAAAACCAAGGCACAGAGTTTTCACTACCTGCCAAATGACAGAACTCAATTCTATCCCACACAGTATGGTTCAGTGTCAGATTTTCTTGACGTTCCATTGACAAATCCTATCTTAGGAGTCACATTCTGTAATGGCCCCTAAGTGTATGTCTAGGATGTAGTCTTTGCAATGAAATGGCATTGTGATGGATTTAAGAAGGGATCTGAATCCAATGACACATGCTTTTATTTTTAAAAGGTAGCGAGATGTTTGAGGGACAGAAACTCACATGCAGATATGAATATGGATCCAAAAGAAGGCTTGATGTGATGTGTCAGTCAGTCAAGGAAAGCCACGGGACAACTAATATCGACCTGAAGCATGGACATAGCGTGGGTTCTACTTCACAGCTTCCACAAGACACCAAATATGTCACGTCCTGATTTTGGACTTCCTACCTTCAGAAGGACCGTGGTAATAATTTTCTCTTGCATTAAGCCACTTGGCCATTTGTAGTGGTTTGATATAGCATGCCTGAGTAGTGCATATGCCACCTATATTTTGTGTGACTTCATTGGCTTCTGTGCTTCTTGGTGACATAATAAATGCTTCTCTTAGCCAAGGAAGGCCACACTAGGATTTATGACAAAGCAAGCAGATGCTTGCCGGTAGTAACAGTATAGGGCGTGTAAGGAGACCCACTGATGTTCATTCTCCATGTTCCCATTCTTTCCAACAAGTCCCCAAACCTGCTCAGACATCATCCGAAAATAAAGAAAATACTTTGGGGAAACTTGGTCATCATATGATTATTTTTTGGGGATTTGTTGAAGAAAAAACTTGTAAAACTAAAAGATTGCTACTATGTGTCTTTTCCCATTTTCCTCAAAGGACTGTTGATATCAACTCTCCTCTCCCAGTCACTTTGCTGATGGTCTCCTGCACATCCAATTATCCAATTACTTTTCTTTCGAGCCACTTGAGCAGTCCTACCGTACTCAATACGAATCTAATGCCTTTCTTGAGGCTCTGCATCCCAGCTTGTGTTCACCGAATTAGATTGCCACAGGGTTTCTTTTTAATGATAAATTTTCTCTAAATTAATCTGTGGATGCTCCCCCACCCCTGAATTTAGGCAAAGACTTGCTATTTTCATATTTCCTATGTAATGCTCTTGAATGTTTTACTCCTGATTATCTTCACCTGCTGCTCTTTTCACACCTGGACGCAAGCCCCAAGTTCACTGTTTCTTTGTGAAAAGCCTTTGGTTTTCCCTCCTTACATCTTCCCATTTGCTGAGGCGCCTCTGGTCCTACATTCTGTTCTCTTCCATTGTTCTGCTTTTCCCCTTAGATAGTAGGTAAGACAAGTTCTTCTCTGAAGCTCTCTCCTCTCTTCTTGTTCTTGTTCTTCTTCTTCTTCCTCCTCCTTCTTTTTCTGAGACCTCCTTCTTCTCTGTGTAGCCTTGGCTGACCTGGAATCACTTTGTAGGCCACACTGGCCTCAAACTCAGAGATCCACCTGCCTCTGCCTCCTTGAGTGCTGGGATTACAAGCGTGCGCCACCACACCCCAGCTTCTCCTTTCCCTTCTAAATGCGCCTGCTCATCACATGGGCTCACACAGATCTACTTCATGCTTGCATCCTCAGGACCTGTCTTCTCGAAAGGAGAAGATTTGTTTGGCATGTGGGAGTCATTCATACGGATAGTAGCCTGGGCTATTGAAGCAGTGTAAATTTTCTTCCTTGTTTATCATGTGTGTGAATTTGTGTGTATTACCAATTTCTAACTTCTCACAACTCTGTACTTTCCCTATAGTATATGTGATTTTTTTTTGTTTGTTTGTTTGTTTCAGAAATGTAATGAGAAATTTTTTCTATGCGGTGCTGTGACTAAATTCTAGAGGGGAGTTAGTGTAGCTCAAAGGCACAAACTATCTTCCAGGAATAGATGTTGTGCCTATTTGGACTTCAGAGCTTTCCATGGTGTGGTGAGGTGGGAACCTCTTCTTGTATGAAGAGTAGATTCATCTTGCAGGATGGTAACACCTTTTCTACTGCAGTTAAAACACATGTAGAAACAAACATCCGTGTGGATGGTGACTGGATAAAGGGGTAGCCTGTACCAGTTATTAAAGTGTGTCAGCTTGAAAACCTCCCTCTTCCATCCAATTTTGCAGCGTGTGGCCCACGTCTCTGCAAACACTTCTGCTTTGCCAACTGGTTGCACATGAGCTCAGCCAATTGGAGATGCCAGCAGGAGATTGCCAAGCTGAGAAAAGAACCAAAGCTAGTATCTCTCCCCTCTTGGACTTGCACATGTAGCTTCATCATGTTCCTATCGGATGCACCAGCGTCAGCCATCACTGTCCTCTTCAGCTTCGGGGTCTCAAGTACTCAGAGCACAAGCTTCAGCACGAGATCAGCATCCTCCCTTCTCAGAAGTCTGAGTGCCCCCAAACTCATAAGATCATGTCTGCTTGTGTTCTAGTCATCCCTAGGGTACATCAGTTTTCTGCAGTTTGCTTATTCGATGAGATTTGGTGTGTCCTGCCTTTATCATCTCAATTATCCAGAAAACAACTTTATAACTAGCTTATACTTATCATTAAGTTCTCTTAACATCACTGATGTGGTTTGGACTCCAACTAATACTATGGACACACTAATTTTTCTTGATTTTATGGCTGAAGAACTATGATTTCAGGATATCTTAAATGTGACAAAGAGTTTAAATACCCACACTTATACACTTAAAACAAAACAAAACAAAAAAACTGTATTATTTGGAGTTTGGGGACTGTATATCTGTATTGTAATGTGTATATCTGTCTTTAATATGCTTTTAATTCCTAGTCCAAGTACATGGGTCTTAAGAATGTTCCCCAGAATAGAATGCATTTTATTCTGCTTTGGGGAGGCACCTAGCACACCTGTGGGTGCCTCTTCAAATCTCCTTTGCTCAGGCCAGTGTGACACTGAGTTCAATCATGCTCATGTGGACAGCAGAGGTACAAGATCCAAACTAGGTGGATTTTATGACTGAGAAAGTATCATGGACATTAGAACTTATTGTCCATTCCAGAAGCTTACTATCACATCCAACAGAATATTGTATCTGACAGGAAAAGACTTAGCTAGCTAACCTACATATTTTTTTAAAAGACTAAGGTTATCAATTTAGCAATTTTGACACCAAAAATGCAATATTTTAAAGGAATCTGAGAAGTGTCTTAAAGCACTCTGGTGCACATCCAGAGGAAAGGGTGGTGACATGGCATGTGGGTTTAGTCATAACATACAAGACAGGCCAGGGTATAACTCAGGACCACTAACCACATCAAGTGTCGGCTTCCTGAGTCAGATTAGAAAGGGCTGAGGTGACTAGAAATACCTGGCCATGTGTTTTTATAAACAACTTTTTTTTTCTCTTCAGACAACCATTT